GTGGAGACTTCAAAGCTGTTTGACACATTATACCTCAACAAACCTCAGTTTGCCACCAAGTGTCCATTCAGTTGGGAATTCCTGGTAATTAAGGCTCCCCAATGAGTGTTGCTGTTGGATAGACAAGTTTCCAAATACCAAATGCCTCAATGACTTTGGCCGTACATGCTTGAATGAGTCATCTCCCTGTATAAACCAGCCTGGGTGTAAGGATGGGAAAATTTTGATTTATCTTAGTGCCTCATTTTACAGTTCAGTTCTCCAGTTTGTGATACTCACATGAAAATAAATACATTTTTGCAAAGTAATTTGCCCAATAGAATGCATATTTTAATGTTATTTTAACAAAGATGCATTTTCATGCACACTTTACCCTAGTATGCGCATTTTTGTACACATTATTTGGCTGGAGCGCTACATTGCAAAATCGCATGAATTTTGTGTGATGGCCAAGTTTCAGTTCGTGTGCACAAATGAGGCATGTTTACCTTTCAGTGTGAACCAAGTTGAATTCTCCCCTATCCCTACATGTGTATTAAGATCTGCCAGGGAGACTCTCTTTAATGTTTGTCAATCAGGAATAGGGCTGGGCAATGTTGGGTTTACTCCCTGAAAGCAGCAGTAGCCAAGAGCACGGAACCTGTCAGTGTGGTTGACTGCCTTTGCCTCCTCCATGTTCAGGTGTGCTGTCTCTTTCCTCTGGGTGGGGGGGGTCCTTCACCCCAGGAGAAATGATGCAGCCCACCCTCCTGGGCGAAGTCCACAAGACACAGGGTGCAAAACCACCCTATCTGTGCCTTGCAGAGAGGGGCTGCTGGAGGCTGCTAGCAAGCGTTGGGGCTGCCAGCATCAAAGAGCCCCTACACTGCCTGGCTGCCTGCCACTGGAGGGAGGGCTCGGTAGCAGGAGAAGGCAGCCAGGTGAGGTCAGGGAACTCTCAGCTGGGAAGCAGAGGCTTCCCAGTATATCGCTGGTGAAACCGCCGCCACTTGAGTCCCTCTGCCTTCAGCGCCCAGCTAGTTTGTTTCTCCCTCAGCATGCTGGGCGCTGGAGGCAGAGTGACTCAAGTGGCGGCGGTTTCACCAGCAATATACCACTGAGTGAAGCTGTAATCGCGGTCTGTGCCCACATACAGTCCTGGCCGATATAGCTATATGCTGCCCAGGCCTAATCAGGAACTATATACTATGCAGGATTCAACCTCCATAGCGGCACATTGATTTTGTAATTCTCTCCCCTCTGAAATTTGGCTGGCACCTTACTCTCTTTTCATTCAGATGCTAGCCAAAACCCTGGTTAAACTTGGCTCAGAGTCTTAGAAGCTATTAATATTAAGCTGGTGTGTTTTTAAATGTTTTTTTCCTCTTTTTAGGGTAATTGTTTTTTGTTCTGCTCTTACATTGCTATGGGTTTATATTTTTAAGGTTGTGTTTGCTGTTACTGACCCTGAGATCTTTGCCTATAGCGAAGTCGATAAATCCTATGGAGAGGTCTATAAATGTTTACATAAATAAATAATAAATATCACATCCATCACACTCACACTTTACATATTTGGGTGTATCCTTGGAAAACGTTAGAAGTGCACCTAAAAACTGTACTATGTGTCCTTTGTGCTTTGAGGATATAATCATTTAAAAAAGCAAATTAATGTAAAGATGAAACTTGGAAGGTATATGAACAGAGACATCTCAGTCCTGAGGAAGACTCAGCAGACTTTTAATTAGTTAGGCAGTTGTGCCCACATGTAGCAGAGGCAAGGTAAATTACGCAAAGTAATGAAAAAAAATTCAAAATGTACTAAATTTGCATAATGTCAGGTCCTGCCTACTTTTGGGCTTCCCATATGCATCAAAATACACACAGTTGTACACCGAGCTCCAGATGATTTAGGCTGCAATCCTGAGAGTAAAATCCTCTGATTTCAATGGGACTTACTTTTGAGTAGGCATAAGAATGTTATGATACAGGGACAATAAAGAGGAAGACTAAATCCTAGACTCACTCAATGGCCAGTCTAGTGTAAGAGGAAAATAAATGGGCCAATAATAAAATAAGAATGCACATTAATAGTACATGACTTTTCCCCAAAGAATTATGGGAACCATAGTTCCCTACAGAGCTACAGTTCCTAGCACCATTAACAAACTACACTTCCCAGGATTCCTTGAGACAAGTCATGGGCTTTAAATGTCCACTGAATGTCCTTTTAATGTGTAGTATGGATTTGCCTGACATCCCATCGAGTTCTATGGGTGTACTCTCACATAAATGGCTATAGGGCTGCATCTAAATTTATTGGCTTCAAGGCGGAAGTGGACAAATGTATTAATATCTTGGTTCATGCAAGCATTTATTCAAAAGTAAGTCCCTGTTGACAGGGCTGACTTCCTAATCTGATGCCTTGCTAGTATCCTATTGGAGTCAGGAAGCTTTTCCTCTCCTCTTTCTCAGGCTGCCTTTCTTTGACTTCACCATAACAACACTGCCAGATAAACGGAGCGAAAAGAGCTCTTGGAGAGATCATTTGAGCATCTTCGCACAGAAATAGTACATTGAGGCCACTTTCCTGGCTGTGGATCTGTCAACATGGCCGAAGTCTTAGGATATTGGACACAGATTTATGCAGAAAATATGGCAGTTCTCCACATATCACTTCCCATGTGATTTCTCTCTCCCTCCCCACCCCTTAACCAGCAATCAAGTTCAAAATATGAGACTGAAAATAGTTCCAATGGCTACCGCAAATGACGTAGTCACCAAAATAGCCAATTTTTTCATACAGTTGTTGCAGTGAACTAGGTGGGGTTTTTTTTAAGAATGCAAAAAACACAGCGCGTGGGAAAAGCTAGTTTTACTGTAAGATAGTATGTCGTGAAACAAACACGCCAGGCTTACGTATGTATAATTAAATAAACCCCCTTTGTTCCGGAAAGGGGGTTTCCTGATGCTCATGTTTACCTAACCTCACAGTTACTGTATAGTCGCAAATTTGACCTTCTTTGACAATTTGATTCTCCTCTATTTTTCAATTCACAGTCCAACACATTTACTAGGAAAGCCTAATTGTTTTCAAAAGGGCTTCAAATTATTCTGAGACTTGGGATGTTAGTGGCTTTAAGTAACCACTTTCCAAGAATGCCCTCAGCAACAGTCTCAGTAGTGTTACCCTTCTCTGCATGGCTTTGATATGTAAAAATAAATGAAGCTATAGAGATATATTGGGAGCACTTCAAACCCTATTGAAGAAATCATAATTATCATTACTGTTCCTGTGAATGTGTCACTTTACTCCAATCTTGGATAGATTTGGGATCTGTGCAGGAAAGCCAAAGACCTACAGCCACCTTTGCATTTCATGGCTATTTGCCCCCCCCATCCCTCCTCCTGGGATGCAGGTGGCGCTGTGGGTTAAATCACAGAGCCTAGGACTTGTGGATCAGAAGGTTGGTGGTTCGAACGGGTGAGCTCCCGTTGCTGGTCCCTGCTCCTGTCAACCTAGCAGTTTGAAAGCACGTCAAAGTGCAAGTAGATAAACAGGTACTGCTCCGGCGGGAAGGTAAACAGCGTTTCCGTGGGCTGCTCTGGTTCGCCAGAAGCGGCTTAGTCATGCTGGCCACATGACCCGGAAGCTGTATGCCGGCTCCATCGGCCAATAAAACGAGATGAGAGCCGCAACCCCAGAGTCGGCCACGACTGGACCTAATGGTCAGGGGCCCCTTTACCTTATCCCTCCTCCAGTCCCATCACCCCTCTTTGAATTCATGCTGTGTACATCTCAAGCAACTGAAACTAACACTTAAAAGGGGATTCTAGACCATAAAAGGTTCTCTCTGTCAGGAAAGTGTGTTTAGGATTGCAGCCTAAGAACAAGCCCCATTGAGCTCAAGTTCTACTCAGAACTTATTTCTGACAAGATTCTTTTGTAATTGTGGCTAAATATTTGCCTGAGTATTGCAAGTTTGCTTTCAGCTGTTTATATTGGGGGTGTCAGAGACTCCAGTTCTGTTCTTGGCCTAAAGTGGAGTATTAAAAACCTACTGTTGTACCGTGCTTTTTCTCCAGTATCCATTTTTTCCATCAAGCTGTTGGAAGTCTATGGGGTATATACCAGGAGTATTGTTAGTTAGGTTGGAAAGGGGAGTGTATCCTCTACTTCTCCCCCACAGAAAAGGTTCAAGAGAGGGATGGCTGCTGGTCCACAATCTTCTCACTTTTTTCTGGAAAACTGGCCTCGGATTGTTTCAAAGATTTATTTGGCCAGAAAGGTTGACACAAAAAAATGGGATGACTTTATCAAAACTATATTCAGCTCTTAATTAACCTGCTGACTGTCTCTACCCAAAACTGCAGGCTCCAGCCAGGAGCTCTGATGCTGGAAACATCTCTTTGGAACCTGTAGAGCTTACTTTCTATTAACAAGGGAGTGTAAAAAACAACAACCCCAACCCTTTCCATTTTCCAGAAATGGAGGAGCAAAAAGCCCTTCTGTTCCTTTTCTTTCTCTTTCTACTTTCTCCCATGTACTTTCTCTGTACATGGGAAAGACCCTGGTTTTAAGGGCAAGCCCCATCACTTCAACCAGGAAATCTCTTATTGATTTCATTGTAGTTCACTTCAAAGTTAAGTGCACTGTATTTAATATTGTAGCACTGAGATCACAATCTTGGAAACAATATCACTGGAATCTATGCACTAAATATAGGGGACTAATTCAATGGCTTTGAGGCAAATCCCACGGTAAAGTCCACGGGACTCAATTGCAATGTTCAGTGTCAAAGTTATAGTGATACCTGATCAATTTATGCACAGGCCACTCTTTCACTTGGTCTCATAGCATGTTTACATTTTGGGGCTCATTATATAAGAAGACAAAGAAGGAAAAGCCCACCACTACCAGACTGCAGTATTAAATGTAATATTCAAAATATCCTCTGGGATATTTTCTTTAGATTAGTGGATCTAGACATTAATATAGCTAGAAAGGAAGACCGAAAGCATTTGAAGAGGTTTTTTTTTTTATTATTCCCATGCTCTTAATTTTGAAAAAAAAAATCACAAAAACATAACTTATAAAACAATATATATACTGCATCCTCCACAACAGCATTATTGAAACATCCAGCGTAACGGTTACCACAGGTGGGAATACACTGGGAAAGAAGTACCTTGTGCATTTTATATTACGTTTCTTTGTCATCTACAGGTAATAAGTATTGACAGAAAGAAGCAACAAATATGTCTGCAGGAAAACTTCATATGCGTTTTTAATGCGTATTAATAGTTAAAGATCATATTTATCATTTTCATAGTCATTTTAAGTATTATCTACATTTACATCATAACACCTTTTTAAGATTTCTTGTTTGGGCTCCTTGCTTTTTGTTCAGAGCTGGAAAAGCAAAGTCACTTTTTCAAACATTTCCCCCAACCTCGAGATTACTATACTCCTTTCCTTTTAAGATGCAGTATCGACGTTTCAGGATAGTCCTTTTCCGTATTTTAAACATTTCTGTCCCTAGATTCTCTAGGAGAATTCTTTCTTAATTAAAAAAAAAGAGCCATTTAAATAAGGATGAACGATAATTTGATTATCAGGGGTAAGACTTTGCAAAGGGGAAGGGCTGGGGGGGGCGTTCTGCAAAGTTCCTTTTTAAAGGGAGGCGATTTAAAGAGGGATGTTGGGGGGGGGGGAGGGGAGATACTGCCGTCTTGGGAGGGAATAAACGAGAGAGAGGTAGGAACCTTTTCCAGCCGCTTAGTGCTCGGCATGGCCGGCTCTCCACCGCTTTCAGCTAAAGAAACAAATCCCCATCGAGAGTCACTCATGCACGTGGAAAGCAACGCCGCCCACCCGACGGCCAAGCGCAGGGAAAGGCGAAAAGATAAACAGCACCTCCCTGAAGTGGTTGACCCTTGTCAGGATGACATTTGCTCCGCTTGAGAGTTCCCATCTTGCCATTGACCCGAAGCGCCGCCCCCTCTCGCCAGAGTCCCCGCCCCTTCTCCTGAAGCGGCCGGAAAAGCAAGCAAAACCCCGCCCCGGAAACCGCGCCTCTTCCCCCTCCCACCCTCTACCACAAAAAGCCCCGCCCACGAGCCGCGCATTTCTTCGCTGGCGCGGTTTCTCCCCCCCCGCCCCCTCTCCTCCCCGCCGTATTTCCTCGAATAAAGTGGACGCTTAGAAGAGGAAGTCCTGTGCAAGTTCAAGTAAACACGCATACAAAACCCGCATCATCCAGAGGAGAACGAAATACATTGCAACTCATCCCCGTGTTTCAGGGCCGGGCTGGGGCGTCGTCTGAACCCCCGCCTCTCTCTCCTTCTCTCTCTCCGTTCCCGTCGCCGCCGCCGCCGCCCCGCCGCGCCCTTCCTCCCGCGGGGCTCCCCGGGGCCCCTTGGCGCAGCCGCCGCCGCCGCGGTCCCTGTGCGGAGGCGCCGGCCCGTCAGCTGTTGTACTGGCAGGCGTTGAGGGTGGAGCCGGGGCTCTGCAGGCCGCTGTAGCCGAAGTTCGAGTGCTGCTTGGACTTGAGCCTCAGGCTGGCCAAGCTGGAGTTGCAAGTGTCCCGGTAGACGCTGTAGGGCGAGCCCGGCGGGCCGTAGGGGCAGGCGGGCGACGACATGGCCGTGTTGAGCGACGAGCCGCTCAGGTTGTTGAGGCCGGCGTTGGGCACGCCCGGCACGGCCGAGTGGCCCATGGACGACGGCATGCTCATGGAGGGCAGCGTGCTGGGCGCCGAGAACATGGACTGGGCCGACGAGAGCGGGCTCATGGAGTTGAAGAAGGTGAAGCTCTTGGAGGAGAGCGGCGCCGGCGCCAGGCTCTTGGCGTGCCAGTAGTTGGACGGGTAGCCCGCGTACACCTCCTCGTAGGGCTGCATCAGGCCGCTGAACTGCGGCACGTAGCCGCTCTTGCACAGGTCCATCTGCTGGTTGCGCTCCCGCTTCCGCCACTTGGCGCGACGGTTCTTGAACCACACCTGCAAGGGGCGGACAAAGCAGGGCTTAGCAGGGGGCGGCCGGGCTCCACCGACGGCCAAAGCCAGGCACGCCTTTCCCCCACTCACCCACCCCCCACCCTCGCGAGGGCAGGAGAAGCGTCATCTCAGGGTCGTGGGGTTGGGCAAAATATTCCAGCGGGCCAGGAGTTGGACTCAGGGATGCCAACTTGAATAAAATATTGGGGGGGGGGGAGGAAGGCAAGTCACACCCCGCATAACTGATAATTGAGCCTGGATAACTCAGCTGGTCAGAGCGTGGGGCTGATAATGCCAAGGTTGCAACATAGTCCTGCAGTGGTCCCTGAGTTTACTACCTGCAAACGGGCGTTTAATGCTCACAACCGGTTCTATGATCACATGAAGTGGCGCGCACACGCCATTTGAATTGCAATACCCATCAACAGGGGGGGGTTCCCTCAAATATTTTATGGGGGGGCAAAGGACCCCTAGAAGTTGGCTCCTATGGTTGGACTAGATGACACTGGGACATAGCTGTCAACGTTTCCCTTTTTAAAAGGGAAATTCCCTTATTCCGAATAGGATTCCTCGCAAGAAAAGGGAAAAGTTGACAGCTATGCCCTGGGATCCCTTCCAGCTCTTACGATTCTGATTTCAATGGCCTTATTTCCCCTGCGCCCCCCCCCTTATTACATGTCACCATTAAGCGGTACAGAAAATAATTAATAATAAGAATAATAGCATAGAGGGCTTCAAAGTTGGCTGCCAGCCCTGCTGCCCTAAAGTACGTCTCCCTGTGGCACCCGCCGCTACGCGGTGGGAGCCTTTTTAATGGGAAGCGCTCAGCAGATGAAACTGAAGGACCCAAGAAGGGTAGCATCAGATTCAAAGTCCGGCTATTCCAGGGATGGCCAGCTGATGGGTGCGCTTCAAGATGCCGTTGGCGTCCACTTCCCATCGTCCCTGGCCTTTGCTGATGCTGGCTGGGGCTGACCGGGGGTAGACAATATCTGGAGGATACGACCTTGGCAACGCTGGAGCTAGTTGCCTACTGGCCAGCCCGATGCTTCAGGAAAGCGTCTCCGCTTAGCTGAAGCTCGATTAAGATGCTGTTTAGTTAACAGCTAATATACTGTCTCTCCGTTGTGGCATCTTCATACCAGAATATGGAATCACTTGGTGGGATTTCTGGAGGCCTTGCTAAAATGTAGCAGAAAACTACCGTAGAAGTATATTCTGCCAAATGCTTTGCAAGGGTGCAACATGGTTAAAAGTCATAGTGGCTTCTGAGCCATTTAGAAAGGAAAAAAGGGACAACCAAAGTAAAGGGAGAAACACTTCGAGCATGTTCAAAATAGCTTTTCTTTCTCTAAAAGAAGAGCTGTCATGTTCAATAGATTTCTGCTATTTCTTTCTCCTTTAATCCCCCAAATATGAAAGAAATCTATGAGTTAATCTACTAGTTTATTGCACACAAATGCATTGCTCACCTGATCTAGCAATATAACCCTGGCACTAAAAATAGGTTTGGGGCCACCTTGTAAGGACAGCCTATATTAATTCTTAAGTTTATTGAAGTGGATATGGAAGCATGAAGTTTATTTATTTTTAATGGTCTTTCATGTTTTAACTTTGTACGTTGCCTTGATGTTTTATGCTAGCTACGATAGGGTCGAAACACTGTTTAGAAATTTAAAAAAAGGATGGCAGAGGGTGACTGGAATGTTAAAAACATGCAGGATCAGCACATTAAACTGTTGTTGTTTTTAAATTCTCCACTGTATATAGACACCTATGGGCACCTCCATTTTATGTAGACACCTACCACTCTCTCAGCCCAACTTATGCATTTGATAAAATTAAGCTATTGCCTTTAAAATATTGCACAACAATGTCAGCCTTTAAAACAGGTGTGGGGACCTGTGGCCCTCCAGATATTACAGCTCCCATCATCCCTGACCATTGGCTATGCTGGCTGGGGCTGGTGGCATCCAGCAACATCTGGAGGGCCTTAGGAGTTCCCTGTCCTGGCTTTAAAAGGTGCCATGGTACTTTTGACTGTCTTTTTGCTGCAAGCTAGCATGATTGCTGGTCTGGATTTTTTTAAAAGCTGAACTGTCACTTGCAATATTTCTCATATTCATGCTGCTCCACTCCACTGGGAAAGCTGTTTGTGGATAATCTATTATGCCAGAGAGGCCATTCAGCCTCCCTCCGCCTCCACCTCCACCCCCAGCCCTCCCAAAGGAACAGCTGGAGCTGAAGTCAATTGAGTAGAACCAAGAAGCCAGTAGAGTACAATTTGTTTCTGGGTCTCAGCTAGGGTCCAGTTCCTGTCTCTGGGGAGCAATTATCCTTAAAACTATGGCTGCGAGCCAGTTAAAGAACATTGGCTTTAAGGGGGCTTTTAATTGATAATCAGCAAATGAATTAAATATAAATAAATATGCCAATTTCCGAAACCTCTGTCTAGGTGCCTTTCTAGGGATACTGAAGAAAATACATTGTCCATCTATTTGTGCCCAGTCTGAACTCATGTCAGATTCTAGATTTCCCTTATCAAGTTTTCCTGCTCTCTTTTAAAAAGCCCTAGAGAAAGTTGTCCTAGGAAGAACACACTGAATTCCGTATCTGCCACCCCTCTCCCAAGCATGATGTCTTTGAGATTCCATGCAATAAGACATGTAAGCTGTTTTTGTCCTTGCATAAATCCCTTCCTGCAGACTGCTGCTTTGGACGGGCATCCGATCTCTCTCCTCCTGATGATCTCCAAAATTTCAAACCCTCACTTCCTTTCTCTGCAGAGAATTACCTACCCTTGACCATACTCTTGTTGTGATCAGGCCCTGGCTATGGCGGCTGGTCTGCTTTGTCCAATGCTAACGCTTTTAACAAAAAACACACTAAAAACACCCTCCTTACAGATCATAAAAAGTGGGACCGGGCAAGTAGGTTTAAGGTAAACACAGAGCCAACCACCCCCTACATCCTTCGCCTTTCAATGGATGCAGCATCTGCCTTTGCGTTTAATATTCAGAATTTACAGCTTTGCTGCTGGAGAGCAAAAGGAGGCTGGTTGCTCCTGGGGTTTAATGTAAAAAACGGTGAAAGAGGAGGGGGGAGGGACCTGATGCAGATTTGTGGAAAGTGCATCTTTGGGAAATGCTTTGAGTTCCCTTTCATAAAAATCCAGGGCTCAGAGAACAGGAAAAGACACCCAACTCATAACCTGAAGCAGGACACAGCCGGATCTGGTTTAGCGTCCTGTTAAGAGACGGCAGATCTAATGGGGAGGTATGTCTTCCACGTGGTTTCTGCTCCAGGTTAAAATATCTTCCCCTCCCTTGGTGGAAAATATCGGCCTCCGGAACTGCCTGTGTTACTGGTGGGTTGTGTGGTCTTTGTACAGGTCCTGGCTAAGGAGAGTCAGGGAAAGAAGCAGATGTGAGACGACATCACGTCCACCTGGCCTCTTAGAAAGTGAGCTCTTCCTTCTAACAGAAACCAGTTTTCCTTAAGTAAGGTCCTTCCAAAAAGTGGAATGGTTGCTGTGTCATTCAAGGGGGCCTTTCAGACTCAGGCACCTACTTCAAAATTATGCATGTAGCTGATGCTCATCAGTGTCTGAGTTTAGGGGCAACAAACTCGAATGCTACATTGAGAACAGGAAGGCGAATTGTGAGGGGAAAAGGACCAGGGAGGAGGAAGGATCCGGTGTAAATATAAAAGAGGAAACGAAGAAAGGCGACACACTCAAAACCTGTAATTCATTTTTCAGAAGGTGCTTCCAGACAGGAATTTCCTGAAAATGAGGCTAATAGTTTTAATGATGGCTTCTAGACGTTTGCAAATTAAGGGTGGATTGGCAAAACTGAGTTTTAAGGCTGCTTCTAAATATATGTGTGTTATCTACAGAAGGCTGAAGGAGAAGAATTGCAATGAATGGGAATGAATTCCCCGAAATTTTTCCACACCAAATGTTCAGCTTGCCCACGCGTCTATTTATTGATTTATCTACCTCTTACTTGCCAAAGTGGCTTCTAAGCTGTTTACAAGTATAAGCGCAATCACAAAATTTACTTGGGAGGAAACCTGATTTTTCTGGCTGCCCCTGAAAGGTTAAAAGAGGCATCTGCAAGCGACGTTTTTATTGGTTTGTTTTGTCCAGGTCTCAGTGATTTACGAAGGCCAAAGTGGGATTTCCGAAAACGGCCTTTCTTTTAGATTTGGACAGAAGTAAGGACCGGGCGATTCCAGTCGAATGAAGTCCTAAAAACGGGGCTAGTTCCTAGCGTTTGAGGCTGCAGTCTTACATCTCGCTTAGGGGGAAATTGAACCCGTGGGGAGGGACACCCCTTGGCAAGAATATAGGAAGGTGTCCCTTGCCTTCCAGTGATCCTCAGGTGATCCACTTCGGTGGATCGCGCCAAAACTAGACTAAACGCATCCCTGGAAAAATGCAGCATATTCCCCGTTCTTGCTCATGCTTTGTTTCAGACACATTGACCTCAGGGATACTTCCTCTCGAGTCACTGAGCCTCGGGGTTGCTGCTTAAATTTCCTACACTGCAAAAACGACCCATAGCCCCCCCTTTTTTTTGCTTGTCACAAGAAGGGCTGCCATTTCGTGCGCAGTTCCCGGGGATTAAGCCGGGATTCACTTTTGAGGAGACAGAGCTTGCCTAATTGCATTTTCTGAAATAAATATCAAACCTCTGCGGATTTCCCCGTTCTAATAGCCCGATCCCTAAGCCGGTTAAGTGCCCGTTTATTTATTTATTTGAAAATAAATTAGCGGGGCTTCCTTTGCAAGTGCCACTTGGGGACAGACTATCAGCCTAACAGGGCGATTTAAGCAGCCTGAGGAGGAGGTGGCTGAGAACCCATGCAGGCGTGACTTGAGAGTCACACTGGACTTGGTGTGATTTACCCCCGAGTAAAAGTGCATCGGATCCGGCTTCACCGCGGTTTCAAAAACCCCAATACTCCAAGCTGACCTCCAGCGAAGAAAGCCGTTCCCTTAACGTTTTCCCGAGCTGAGTTTACGCATATACTCCCCGATCGCGTCTCCTGCCCCACTGCGGTATACAAGCCCCTTTGGGGTGGTCGCCAGCTGGAGCCCATGATGACGCGGTTTTAAGAGGATGCAACGCATAACCATTGAACTGAATGGGCGTCTTGACATTCGCTTCCGCCCACTGTAGCTATGTCGCAAACTATCCTCAGCGCGGATTAAACGCACCCGCAGCTCTGGCGCTAGAAGGATTCTTTCTCCCCACAGTGTAAGGAAGTATCCTGGGCTCATAAATGGGAGGTGGGGGTGGAAGAGGAGAAACAGAGAAAGAAAAGAGGGCGGAGAGAGAACCTCCAAAAAAGTCCAATAAACTAAAAATCCAAAGTTAAAAACAAGCAAAGAGAAAGTCTAATAAAATACTAATCCTCTCCCTACGGCAAGATATTTTTTCCTACCAGTTGGGGCAGGAAAAACTTTTAAAACAAACAAACAAACAACAAACAAACAAACAAACAAACAAACAAACAAACAGAAACAGCCTCTTCAGTTGTAGGCAAGAGAGGCGTAAGAGAACATCTCTGTACTGATTTAGGACCATAATGATTTGTTGACTTGGGAGCCCAATGCAACGGGCCCTGGTAGCCGAGTTTACTCGGCGGATCCTGTCCGTGCTGCGCTAGCGATTCCGACCTACGCACAGACTTGGAAGTCGCGGATCCTTTGATTTCAACGAAATCTCTTGAAGCGAAAGTCTGCTTTGGGGTGTGTTAGAGCTACAAGTTAGGAAAGATATTAATAATCAATATATCCTCTCCTGCCACCCTCAACATCCCCACACCCACAAGGCCCAGTCCATATAAAGCCAACACCAATGGGATTGTTACTCCGATCCCGAACACTGAATTCGTAGTTTCTTTAACTCCAGGGGAACTTAGCGTTTTAGGGCCACGCGCTTGAAATGAACTCTCACCGAAAGCGGGTTGGGCACAGTCAGGGAGACGGAGCCATCCGCTTAAACAAACCAGTTTTGTGAATCAGGCTGTTGGCGTTCAAACAATATGTACACGAATATAAGGAAGGGGTGGCCAAAACAAAGCGAAACAAAACAAACCGCACAGGAAATGGGGCCTTTTATATATGGTTCCCTGCTGGTTTTAGGGATTTTGCACAGCTCTCTCTAACACACACAGAGCACCCTCAGCGCAACATATCAAATGGCATTTCATTTCGCCGGGATTTACTTTCACGCAGTGGGCACGATCCAGCAACAAACCCTAACTATGTTTAACTGAGAAGTCCGACTGAGCGCTATGTAATTCACCCTTGCGGATTATCTTTCCTGGGGAGAGTTAAGCAGGTACTTGGCTAGGCCGCTGAATTCAATGTGACCTTCCAGGCCAAAGCAGTGCATTGTTGCTTGGAATTAAGTCTCAGTGAGCTCTGGTGAACCTGAACCCACAGCAATGCACCTTTCTGAAGTGCTTATTTTGGGCTGGATCCTGTCCAGGGCACTCCAGGACAAGCCTCTTAATTTATTTTAAATCTCCGCTTTCTGCAATAATTTAAGTACAGCGCGCAAATGCCACGTTCTGTCCAGGGAGCGCCATTCACAATGCCCAGCACGTGCAAACGAGCGCGGCCCTTGCCTTCTCCTGTTGTTGTTTAGCCGTTTAGTCGTGTCCGACTCTTCGTGACCCCATGGACCAGAGCACGCCAGGCACCTCTGTCCTCCATGCCTTCTCCTACATTAGCTAAAGGCGCGGTGTGGTCGCTCCCCTACGCAGAATGCGCAGACGCCAGAATGTGGGCCGGCGCTCTACAGAGGGCTAAAGAAACGAGGCATTTCAGAGGGTGTCTCCTATTCTTTCCCGCCTCTGGTTTGTTTAAATATGCTTAAACTTAGAGCTGAAGTGCAGGGCTCTGTCCTGGACGTGTCTCCCGGTCTCACTGACCAAGTTAGCTGCAGTCTACCATCTAAGGAAATGCGCCAAGGAAACGCCGCGCAAGCGAAGCACCACCCAATGAAAGCGGCCGGGGCCAAGACTGGGGGGGAAAAAGAAACCCACAAGTTGCTCACTTCTAGATCAGACGGCACAATTGTTTTTGTTTTGTTTTGAAAGATCCCTTCATGGCCCCACGAAAAAGAGCGCATTCATAAAGGCTTTCTACCCGGATGCCTGGGCTCCCTCTCTCTCTCCCCCAGCAATCGCCCGAAGAGAAAATAGATTTCCTGCTTGGTATTAAATGGCTGCATTTAATTAATGCAGGAGAGAACAGTAAATTCTGAAAGATGGCTCCCTGGCCAAGACCCGCTTTTCCCATGCTACGGAAAAGGACAATGATCTGGGGCGGTCTCAATGATCTCAAGCTTATTATTTGTTTACGGCCCAATCCTGGTCATGTTTACTCGGTTGAGCTTGCTCCTTACCGATCGTAGGATTGCGCCTTCAGCAGTGCAATGGAGCAGTGATTTTGTTTTAAATAAAGCCTCGCCCGCGTTTCTGGAGGCCTGTCTCTCTAGCGGCTTTAAAGGGCCAAGGACGCGCCAGGAAGGGCGCCTTTCCACTGCCGCCTTCTCTACCCCAGACGCCTCGGAAGGGCTCGGGGCTGCTTGGATCCTGCACTCTGCGGATCCTGTGGGAAATCACCTCTGATGCTCCTCCGGGGAACTGGCTCCAGCCCTGGGGTCGCGGCCTGAACTCGCCCCGGGATTTCCCCTCCGCCGGGAGCCCGACGCGCAAAGTTTGTTGCGCGTGGATTCTTTGGTCCTCAGGCGCCCAAGTGAGGCCCGATCCCTCACCTCGTTTACTGTGCGCCATGCACGTTTTCACTGGGTTTTGCTCCCCAAATGACAGTCTCCTCGACCCCCACAACCCTTGGCGTGTAGGGTGCTTCCTCGGATTTCCTAAAGCAGGCTTGGAGCTGGAGCTTAGCCGAGTCCACTCAGAAGTAAATCCCGTCTGGTTTCTTACTCCCGAGTAAAGCTGAGGCCGCTTGCGTGCGAGCCCGTTGCTTGGGAGTAAGCAGCGAGGCGCGCGTCTAAGGAGTGAGTTGCGCGGCTCCTACACAACATTCGACGGGGACTTTCTCCTCCATGCTACCCAACTCTGTGCACGTTTATTCTGAAGCAAGTCTCGCTGTCCTCGGTGGGACTTCCTTCCGAGCAAGTGGGAATATAGGGCTGCAAAAATTACCTTGGTTAAGGAGATGGCAAGCACAGAGCAGGTCAGGCCCAGCTCAGCCTTGTTTTCCTGCATGGAATTATGCATTTTGCTGCCTTCAGTACTGTAAAGCAGATTCCCCCATTCCTGAAATACTGCCTCTTTTTTCACTACGAAGGAGCTAATTCTAATTACAAGCGATAGAACTTCCCTTCTCTTTCTGTAGATCTTTCTAGCATAAGGTGATATCGACCAGAGATGGCTTAGGATCTGTAAAAACAAAGCACCCTTGGACAGTCCCACCAGCGCCAGATCCCCCGGATCTCTTCCTCATCTTCCAACAACGGGCGCTTCCTCTTAAGCGCCTCCTGCCCCAGTGGCTCCCTCTCCTCGGATTTCACCTGGGGCTCCTCTATTTGGTAGACCGGTGTCTAAATAAGGCTCGAGGCTGCGCTCCTCTCGGCACAGGCGCACCTACCCGGGAGGAGAAGGCCGCGCTACCTCTGGAACAAACTTATTTGGATGTCCGTCCCCTGGGACGCGCACATGGGGGGGGGGCTTACTTCCGAGAAAAGCTCTTTCTCGACCTGGGCTCCATCCGCGCCCGGCCAAGAGGGAGTTGGCGATGGGCTCTTACGGGCTGCCTCGGAGTTGTCTGCAGGCAGGCCTGGGAAGTGGCTGGGAGGCGGGCGCCCGAGGAGAGAGCGGAGCGTGGCTCACCCTGACTCGGGGCTCCGTGAGGTTGGTCCACACCGCGATCTCCTCCCTCATGCTCATGTCCGGGTATCGGTTCCTCTGGAAAGTGGCCTCCAGCTCCTGCAGCTGCTGGCTGGTGAAGTGCGTCCTTTGCCGCCTCTGCTTCTTCTTCTTCGCCGGGTCATCCACGTTCCCGTCGTCGCTTTTCTGCACGCCGCTTCGCTCCTTTTCTGCAAAGGCAAAGGGCCGGGCATAAGGAGGCGAAAGAAAGAATTACAATTGGAAAGGGCGGGGGGGGGGGGAATAAAAATGTCCAAACTGCTTCTCCTAACTCCCCAGCCCAAGTCAGCGCCACCCAACTCTCCTTCGGAAAGGAATCTGAATGAGGTCTGGATTTGTAGCCCAAATCTTCCTCCAATGCATCTTTGCACAGCAGCGAGAGCTCCTGGACTGGAACCATCGCGTCTGTTTTAGAAAGCCTCATCAAACACAACCCAGAACCAAGGATTTTCCATTACAAAAGCAAAGGCCAATCCAGCCCCGATCCTGACCTACAGTCTTCCTTTTACGCAAATGACAACAGATATTTTGTTTTGGTTTTGTTTTCATAATGTACTTTAAGAGATTCAAGGTGGGGGAAACATTTCTTTAAAAGGCGTGGGAAACCTTTACAAGTCATTTCTTTAGGCACTTTTAAAAAGTCTCTAAAAACAATGAAGAATTCACATCGATTTTGTTGTTGTTGTTTTTGGATATTTTCCTAGCAGGCACCAGGACACAAAATATACTCCCCACAAGGGGAAAGTTTGAATTTACTTAACCCGAAAACGAAACCTTTCACACAACTGGATTAAATTTCTCCTTTGGGCATTTGTATTTTGACAGTCAAATGATTTTTCAGTTAGGTAAAATTTAGAACCTCATTTTTCTATGGTTCCTTAAATAAAGTAAAACAACAGCAGCAAAAACAGAATACATTTGATCCCACCTACACGTTTCAAAAATGGAAATTATATGATTTTTTCCCCCAGTTTCAAAGTGCAAGATGTGTGCACGTGCACACACAATTTAAGGCAAAACATAATACCTGCTAGTTAGTTACAGTACAGCATGTACAACTGGTACAAGCTTCTATTGGCACATTACATCAAGACCGGGGCTTCACTCTACGACCCTCTGAAGTCAATGAAGGAAGACTTCGAGGGCAAGAGCTCCATTGACTTCAACGGGCAAAATTTAATCATATTCTGAACTCTGCCTGACATCCATAGGACTTTCAAGATGTCATAGGTATGCGCCCTGGAGTGCAAGTATCCTCGCCTTCAATTGACTCGCTTCCGAATAAATACGCACAGGATCGTGCTGCCTGGGCAGTGGTTAAATATATTGCCTTTTGCTGGTTCGATGTCTCCATATTTTTATTCCTGCTTAATAATATTAGTATATCTACTTAAATTATACAACGTTCATTTTATAGCAATGCATTCTACAATGGGGCGAGGGGCGGCGGCGGCGGGGAAATCTATGGCTTCTTACTTCTTTAAAAGCAATATAAGAGGAAATACCTAGAGAGGTCATTTTGATTTCAGTGAATTTCGTGGTTCACCGGAACTACGGTGCTAACATATTAATGTAGAAGAAACATATTTCAGACAGGCAACCTTTTTCTATCATGCAGCACGATCCTCTACTTGTTTACTCAAGAGAAAATCCCAGAGTCCAATTGGGACTTGCTCCCAAGGGGTTGCCTCCTAAGGTGATGCTTTGAGAGCACTAATCATTTCGTCTTAACTGAAGCTATTCAGCTTGCAATCCCTGGCAGCAAATATTAACCACTGAACCCAGCGGCACTTTCTTCCGAGTAGAAACGTTTAGGGTTGGGTTACCAGTGGTCTGTTTTTCTGCATCGATATATTCGTTCATTATTGCAGAGGCACTCCAATTTTACGGGCTTGCAAACCGGTTTTTAAACTCATATTTTACGAAGTATTTTATCAATAGCAATAGACACGTGTGTTAACCGATGATGATGCGTTGCGCGTGTCAATCGTAGTATGCAAACAGGAGTCCATATGCAAATCTTTTCAGGTGGGATTATGTGTACTCCACACATAATCGACTATGCAAACGAAGCAAATATTATGAAAACCACCCATTTTACTCGACAACGCTTTAAAAAAAAGTAACATCCTCAAAATAATTGCAGTAAGTTTTAAAACAAAGGGACTATGGACCTCAGCCATAGGCTGTTGTGTGTGTGTGTAGAATGAGAGCGATTTTGTTCTCACGTACATAAAACTTTTTTTTTAACAGGCTGATGTATAACAACATTATTTGAAGTCCCAGTGCTATGGCATTGACTTAGGATCGTCACCTTCTAATTTCTCTATGTATTGAAACGCACAAATTGTAATTGAATCCGTGCGTAAATATATGTACAACACATCCGTGTTTATGTAATTAACAAACCAAACCAAACCATAGCACAGGATCCATCAAACAGCAAGCTCTTTCCTCCCATTGATTTCAAAGGTGAGATTAAAGCATACTTTAATCAGTGGGATGTGGGGGGCATCAGAATCTCCCCCCCCACACACACTTTGTTTGGATCGGGAACTATGTGCCATTCTATAGAGCGAGAAGAATTCCGTGTGCTCCTATCAGTGTGTGTAAGGCACGCACAGCACACATACAAACACGCGCACGCATACACCTCAAGGACTCACGCGAACAAGAGTGAATGCGCTTTAATTCGCATCTGGAATGTTTATCCTAAATCCAAGGCTTAGTACTGAATTAATTTCCTTGAAATGTATTTCCTTGAAACGTCGTTTTATGTATCGGGCAGTGAGGATCTGAAAATCCTAAATAAACGAGCTCTCTACTCCTGCAAAAAACCCTCATTTCCCTTTAAGTCACCGATTAATGCCTATCCCCCGCTCTGGCTGTGCTTAAACTGACTCCTGCGTCCATCTGGGAGCTCTGAAAGCAAAGAGGCGAGTTCAAACGGTTACACGGTTCAAACCCCAAAGTGGTAAATGACCTTATTGCAGCCTGTGATAGCCCTCTTTCCAGTAAGCGGTTTGCAAAGCAAACAAGGCCTGGAACGCGCTCGCCTCGTTAAAAGTTTCCTTGGTGGTGTCCAAGCCAGAAACCCATCGCTACCCAGATCCCATCCACTCCAGCCCCGGCTGGGCTCCTCCACCTCGCCATCCCTGGAAAGAGGGTCCGGCTGGCTAGCAGCACAGGGAGAAGATTTCACTTTGGGGCGCCTCCTCGAATTGGTAGAGGGAAGGAGAGCTGCCTCTGAGACACACACACACACACACACACACACACACACGCACATTTTACACACACACACACACACACACACACACACACAAATTATATACATATAAATCTTTGGAAGCGCCATCCATCAAGGCGATTGAGATCTTGGCCTTTGATTTATCCCTCTTGCCCGTTTCATTACAGGGGAAAAAAGGGGGGGTCTGCCTTCTCCAACGGGCCTCTGATACAGTTTCAAATCATAACACACATTAGGCTTAATTGGTCTTAGCACATTTTTCCACTTAGAAGAAGTGAGAGGTACTTTGTGTCTTGGCGTGGACTAGCGCGGGCCCTGCTCGCTGAACCGCTTTGGGATTTATGAGCCACAGTTTAGGGGGACAACGACCACTGGGAAAAGTCCCCCCCTCCTCTTTCCCACAGCTCCCTCTCCCCGCATCAAGACACACCGGCCTTTCAGCCTAGGCCCGGCCGCTTTCAAACTGCCTTTGGAAAAGAAAAAGGGGAAAGGAGGTTTCTTTCTTTATTCCGTGACTTGGATTTAAGGCGCCTCCTTTGCGCTGGAGCTGCTAAAACCGAAGCTCCTTATGATTTCAAGACCTCGTCAGAGCGCCCAGAATCATCGATTTCCGTGGGGAAATCTAGAGGCAATAATGACCATTCCCAGCCCTGTTTTTTTTTTTACTGCTTTTGTTACACAAATTAGGTTTGTTTTAAGTTTTCCTGCTACTCTTGATCCATTTTCCTTTGTCTACGGAGCTTATGCAGTGTATATGCGTTCTCGGTATATCTATATTGTGTAGATGGCTGCGCGTGTGTCTTACAGATCCGTATGTCGAAAGTTACAACTGTCTATGCAAAGGAAAACGCACGGGGGTGGGGCAGGTTGTTCGAGAGTTATAAAAAGATACTTAAATTTAAATGAAGCCAATATATGTTTTGCCCTGGAAAACGAGGCTGCGATCCTGTGCACGCAGAAAGAAGTGTGGCACAATGAGACTTGATCGCAAGTAGATATGTATGAAATTGGGCTGCAAGTCCCAAAGGTTTCCGTAGATCTCCCTTCCAAGGGTGCACGCAGTATCCCGGCCATAACCTCTTCCTGTGCTCTTTTAAGCTTCCAACCCTCCCCATTCACTTCCAGGTTACAATCTGTCATCGAGGCCTCTAATCGTGGTTTAAGTTTCACGGCATCTTAACCACAGAGCTCTGGAAATTAAATGGCAAGGCAAGGAATAGGGCCGTATGTACCGACTTGAGGGACACGGCCTGGGTTTCTGTGACTCTGTTTTGTGTTGAAATAAAAGATAACCTTTTCAGCGGAGGGGCCTTATTATATGCGGGACATCCGCCAAAATTGAAACAGGCAGACAGTTTGGAGGGGGAAGAAGAAGAAACCCGAAAGTCTCCTTAAAATAACTTTAAGCATTAACTTTAAGGCTGCGATTATACTACGCACGTTTACCTGCGAGTATAATCAGTATAAGCATCTACACACACACACACACAGAGAGAGAGAGAGAGAGAGAGAGAGAGAGAGAGAGAGAGAGAGAGAGAGAGAGAGAACCACACACCCGTCCCCTTATTTTGGCATCTTCTAAAAATGATTTTTCCCTTTACGAAGATATATTGTAACATAATCCAAGTTTTACGTGGTGGGCAGCCTATGGAACAATATAGATTCTGAATGTCTGGATTTCTCAGTCTTTCTCTCGTGTACTCCCACCCTTCACCCCCTCCTGATTTTTGATGGGCGCTCCCCCATTTTGACAGAGAGAGATATTTTTACATGTTGTTCGGTTTCCAGGATGGAAAAGAAACCCATCAGAGCTGACATGCTTTCAGAAACATTCTACAAAAACCGCAATCGGAATGGCAGCTCTCAAATAAATTTATAGTACATAAATTTATGTGCGTGTGCAACGCCAATATTTCGCTTGGATGTGGAGAGCAATATACGACTATATGTTAGAAAGTTTTAATCCCTCCGCGCCTCTTTCCCTCTCGGTGATTAACATAGTTCTGCATTCACCTATTTGGTTAAAAGACAAAAGTCCTCCGGTGTATCTTCCCTTGGTAAGGAAAGCAGGCATTTGCCCTCTTTTCTTACGTGACGCAAACAACCCCAAGAGGGACGCCACTCGCAGGACGTCAGCCCTTACCTGGGACTTCGGTGTCGGACGATTCGCTGGCGGAATTCTCGATCGCTTCCCTGGCCTCGGACGATCTCTGCAAATGGAAGCTGGAAGCCATGTCGTGGGGCGCCTGGGGAGTTCTCAAGCCGTCGGGAACCCTTTCCATATTCATCCCACCTTTAAAGGAATCCATAGCAAGAAGAAGACTCAGTTGTGCCCGCCTGTGCCTTCGGGGAGACGCGCGCGCTGCTTCCCCAAGACAGGGCGAGGGTTATTCCACAGCGGTTGCAAAAGGAGAAGTCTGCTTTGGGGTTTTGCTCTGATTTGGACGAGTTAAATCCACTCGGCTCCGGGCTGGGCTTGGCTCGCTGCGGGACAGGCGGCGCCAAGCCTCGACGGGCTCTGGCTGCATATGCGGGGCAGTGGCAGCAGCCCCCCGCGCCAGCCAGCCCCTTCGAAGGAGAGCAGGGGGGCCGAGCGCAGCAGCAGCAGCAGCAGCAGCAGAGCGCAGTGGCGCGAGGTGTCCGCTGGCTAGCGAGGGAGCTCCGAGTGCGCTGCCCGCGCCCGTAGGTCTGTAAGCTGTCTCGTAGCTCCTCCCTCGCCGAGGTTCGAGACCTCCCCGTCCCTCCTCGCGCTGAGATGCCTTCCCTTCCACGCTGGGCCGGCCTCAAGGGAGCTGCCTGCGAGCCGGCGGCCCAGGCGAGCGCTCTCGGGGGCTGGCGGCGGGGCGCATTTCTTAAAGAGACCGCGCCGGGGAAGGAGCGCTCTCGCCTCTCTCCCGGGTGGCTTGGCGCTGCTCTCGCTCTCTTGCCTCGCCTCCCCTCGCTTGGCTTTAAAAGAACCGAGGCCCCGGAGCAGCCTGGAGCCAATCAGGTGGCTCCTCTTGCCTCTCCATCAGCGCCTGCCTCCTGCCAGGATTTATGGCGCAAGCCAAGGTCCCATTCCAGCCAAAGGGGACCTTCTGGCATTGACATCACCGGAGAGGGGGGGGGAGGAGGAGGAGGTGAGGGGCTGGGAAAAGGTAGATCGCCCCCACCCCACCCCCGCCAGTCTCAAGGAGGTTTTCCTCTAGGGAACGGCCATAGCTTTTAACCACATCCTATTGGAATCCACGAAGCCTCCCACGCCACTTCAGTGGCATCATACGGCGCCCACTCTTTGGTTGCCAGTGCGCATGCTCCACTTCAAAGGGGATTAGTTCCTTCCTAAGAACTTCTGTCCCAATTTACCTGTAAACGAGGCTGGTTGGAGACCGAGAGGCTGAGCCGCCAGTAAACCGGCCATAGGATCGGCTTGTGCGGCTTTTTTGGGGGGGGGCGGCGGCGGGGATGGCATAGTCCAAATTGATCCTTAAGGCTTCCTTCCCCAAACTTGGGAGTGAGCCCCACTGAAGACAAAAGGGTTTACTGCTGAGCAAACCGGCACAGGATTGCTGATAAAAAAGTGGGGGCATGGGATGAGCTCCCAACACCATTTCGATGCTCACGTGTGGATTTGCTCGGGATTATCATGTCTCACCTTCCCAATAGAACTTTCTGTGCCGATAGGATTGCTCAAGCCTAAACGACTTTTAGGCACAGGACATAAGCCGCAAAAACCAGCCGGGGGTGTGTAGTTCTTTCGGATTAAATCGCGTTGTGCAAAACGGGCGTGCTATTGCTTAGGGCTCGTGTAAGGAGAGCACGAGAACGAATTCAGCCGAGTTGCTCTGGTTTTCGGATAGGGTGGTGGCACGATGTTCTAACTTCTTCTAGGGGTTCGGAGGTCCCTCCGCGCCCATCCATAAATTTAAGAGCGACAGAGAACATATTTCACCCCTGGATATAAATCCCCATCTAAAAATCCAAGTACAGTGATACTCACCAGATTTTAAAGAAAAAGCAAATTAAAGTATTCATTAGGACCCCCACCCATTTTGCAGGATAAAGCACCCCAGCCAAACACTCTCTCTGGGACTGCTATACAGTGGTACCTCTGGTTACGTACTTAATTCGTTCCGGAGGTCCGTTCTTAACCTGAAACTGTTCTTAACCTGAAGCACCACTTTAGCTAATGGGGTCTCCCGCTGCCATCGCGCTGCCGCTGCACGATTTCTGCTCTCACCCTGAAGCAAAGTTCTTAACCCGAGGTGCTATTTCTGGGTTAGCGGAGTCTGTAACCTGAAGCGTGTGTAACCCGAGGTACCACTGTAATGATGGCGTGGAAAGGTTGAACATAGGAAAGTTTGTTACATATTATCCTTAAATATATCTGTGAAAGAACTTGCCTAGCTGCCTGTAAACTGGCGACCGGGGAGCGGAGTCGGGAAATAATTTGTTTTCATGGGGCAAGAAAGGCAACGCCTTTTCCCCCTGGCCATTTTTGGAGCCTTTGGGCTGAAGGTGTAAGAATCCATGCCCCCCCCCCCCAGCCCGCATTGCCGTGAGGCTGAATAAGAATATGCCCAATTGTTATCCTTGAAGGCCAGCCGGAGATTTCCTTAATGCGGGAAGTGGATTTATTTGGTTTAAAAGAGAGGCTTTTCTGGCGGGATCCTACCACCACCTGCCTGGGTAAGTTGCGGTGCCCCCAGTGTTGCTGAACTGAGCGATGGACTCATTTCTGAGACCCTTTGATCTCTTTAAAAAGTAGAGCCTCTGGGGAGTTTTCCCTCGCGAGGCGAAAACAGTACCGCTTGAGGATGCAGCCTTTGCATTCCGTGGGAATGTCTCCCGACCTTCCCGTGGCATTTGGATCGCAGCCCACGTGTACTGAAATTCTCGTTCTTCAAGTCAACCGGGAGGCCCATTAGGGATTGCCGCAACGTGCGAGGCTCTCATTCCATGCAACTTCGGGAGGACTACTTGGGAAACTGGTTGTGGATTACAGTTTGGAATAATAATCCCTTTTGCTCCTGTGGTTTAAAACTCGCCTCTCGGTTGTCTTAAAACTGGCCTCCTAATCTCGCCCCATTTTGCAGCCCAGTGCCACTTTTGGGGCAGGTTGGATGATGATGGGAAGGTCGTAGCTGCCACGTCCGCGCGTGCGTATACATTTTGGTGACTCCCTAATGAGTTGTTTACAGATCTGTCGACCACCCTGAATTCACACACACATCTCAGCCCGAGAGGCCAACTTCTGAATCCGACTGCAAGCCCACCGAATATTTCAAATGGGGGAGAGGCTCTTCCTATTCCTACTCCTTGAAATCTCTTCTCCAAACTGGGCTCAGGGGCAGAATATAAAGCCTGGCTCTCCCTTCTCCCACTCAATACTAAAAAAGAGACAACGCCACTTTCAGATCCTCTGGCAACCATTGTTGAAATGTTTCTCTCCAGGAGGCCGGCTCGGTAGATCGGTTGTGGTTTGATGTCTACCTAGGTATAATATCATTCGCACATGCACCATTACTAAAGGTATCAGCGGATAGCAATAAACCAGTCGATAACTCTCATAGAATCTACCTTACATTTATAAGTCCTTTAGTTGGCTATATACAGTGGTACCTCGGGTTAAGAACTTAATTCGTTCCGGAGGTCCGTTCTTAACCTAAACTATTCTTAACCTGAAGTACCACTTTAGCTAATGGGGCCTAATGCTGCCGTTGCGCTGCTGCTGCTGCACGATTTTTGTTCTCATCCTGAAGCAAAGTTCTTAACCCGAGGTACTATTTCTGGGTTAGTGGAGTCTGTAACCTGAAGCGTCTGTAACCCGAGGTACCACTATATATAACTCTTAGTGTTGGTACATATTAAATTCCACCTTCACCTAGGAAGGGCTCTTGCACAAACCTGGGATTGAGGCATGTGGGCCTGGGGATAGATTCGGCGTCTACACACTGGAGAGGGCTCAGGATCAGAATTTCCCCCCATCCCCTATCACTCTGTCTTGTCTTTCACCCATGCTAAACAATAAATGCAGGCTGTAATGTTATTGAGCATTCTTCTTCTTTACAACTTGTCTGTTGCGGACAGAATATGCATTTATTTTGGATAGGAATGCCGAGTGTGGATGTTAAAGAAAGAAATCGCGTCGCAAAGAGATCAGCTCAGAAGCTGGACCTTTCCCTGTGTCCTGTTTAAGGAAGCCTCCTGCCCGCCCCCATTGTGGAGCATCCCAAATCCCTCCTGTAACCCCGGAAAAAGGAACACCGGGAGTGCTTCAGTGATGCCAACTTCACCATTTGCAAGCCTAAGCACAATTCCTTGGAAACTCTTCTACTTGAAAGCAATCAGGAGGCCTTGTTCCAAATAGAGGTGGTTTGGGTCGAGAAGGCCACTCCTTGCAATATCTTCTTGCTTGGCAGGGCTGATGAAACTGTGGTCCTCCAGATGCTGCTTGACTTACAATTCCCATCATGCCTGACCATTGGCTGCCTGGGATGCTGAGTTTCGCAACATCTGAAGGGTCACAGGTTCCCTTCATCCCTGGTCTAAGCCGAGTGCCTATGCTGAAAGGATGGTCTCCCCAACAGACTGAAATCAGAGACAAACCTCTGTGTGTGTTTTAAAGGGCTGTGTGGGTTACATAGAATCATGGACAACTATCTAAAGCAGGAGTGGCAACAGCTCCCATCACCCCATGCCATTGTCATGCCGGCTAGGGTTGTTGGGAACTATAGTTCAACAATACCCGAAGGTTCCCGGGTTCCCTTCCCCCTTGAGCTAAAGGGTGTCTTCGTTTCCCACCTCCCAGGTTCAAAACAGGTTCGATTCGGCCCAAAATACTTTCAGAGAGAAGAAGAAATCTGTGGTTAACCTTCATGCTCCATATTCCGGGGGAAATGTCACTGGAGGGAGTTTTCCAAAAAGGGAATTCCTGTACTGGACTGTCTTCTTCTTTAATCGCACCCTCCCCAACAAATGTGCGAAAGGAAGACTGGAGAACTGTCTTGAGCAGACTTTTCCCAGACAACCCCAGAGCACACAGCTCTAACGCTGACTCAGGGCCGCCGAACCACTCCCCGGTTAAAATGGCCCTTCAGCGTTTCACTCTCACTTCTCTTGAAACCACCGACCCACCCACTTGCTCTGAAAGCGCCGGTTTCCTTAGAAGCTACTTGTAAGTAAGTGCGCCTAGGATTCCAGCCTTAATCCAACATCCCTGCGTTTTTCAGCTGCTTTAGGCTGGGATCCTAAACCCACAGTTTAGAAATGCGCTTCAAATCACAGGGGCAAAAAACTTCCAGGGTGGCCGGG